TTAATTTAGTTATTTTAATTTATTTACTAAATTAATTACTTAAGTAACTAACGTTACGTACTAGTAGTAGTAGTAAATAACATACTAAATACATATATATATATATATATATATATATATATATAACACACACACACACACTTCCCCCAATGTAAGAAGCCGTGTACTGTTTTTCAATTTGCCAATGTCTAGGGTTACTGATGAGAGGTAGAATTCCCAGAAACTGGGTGATAGATTTTATAGCCCTATTTAATTATAATGTACAAGGCTCGTAAATTTATAATAATATTCAGAGCTTTTTTTAGTTATGATTTACAAAAGTGATCAAGATAATAAATCTTTGTGTTCCACGAGAATTATTTATTGGGACAGTCACCCATATTAACATACAATCAATTCTAATTCACATTTTGCTAAAGCCAGCATTTAAATTTTAACTTTTGCTAGCTAACAAAACAGTACAACCATCTACAAACATTTATGTTTATCATGTACTTCAAATGCTGTTAAATAGCAAAAAACCATGATTTACAAACAATATACATATAATGCACTGTTGACAAGGGTGTTGTTTTCAAGGGTAGTACCCTACCTTTAATGCATAAAATTACTTTATAAATTTCTTATTATATGATGTTATAAATGTATATTTACTGATACCATAACTCAAAACAATTTTTTAGCCCTAATAAGTGTGATAAAACATTGCGTTTAACTGAAGTGTTTATTGCATTTCTTAGGTCTGTATTAAGGTTTCATCTTTTTTGCTAGTTTAGGTATTGATTACCATAAACTAGCAAGTTATTCATACCTTCAGAGAGAAGTTGCAAAATGACAAAGTTACGATCATCAACTGTGGGATACAGAATGTTTAAACCAAAGGCAATAACTCGGCAAGCTTCAGCTTGTACACCTTGCCATCCATGAGGGCCATATACTGCACTAAATGTATCTGTTCCCTTCACAAGCTGCCACAAGATATTTGAAATTCTTGATATCAGTTCTCTTTCTATGGAATCAATTCCTTTAAACTCAAACGTCTTGAATATAAACTGAAAAATAATAAGTAAAATACATGATTTCTGTTCCATATTTATTAGCATGCATAAAATCTAAACATTCTTGTTTTGATTTTAAGCACAAAGCTACACAATGGGCTATCTGTGCTGTACCCACCATAGATTCTCTTTAGATGGATTCAAGCACTTTGAAAAATAGATCTTGAATAACTAACTTTATTTCTCTAGATTTGTCCTATTTATGAAACAGAAAGCCAGTCTAATCTACAGATTAAAATAAAATACTTGGTAAGTTCAACATGGCTTTCATTACTATAAATAATGACAAAACTATAACTTTACATATTCAGACAATAATTATATCCTTGAGTTCCAAGCGTTACAATGTTATGATGCTGCCTCTTTTGATTAGTCAGTTTAGTGTTTTTTGTTTTGTTTTTCTAAATATCGAAAGTAAGTTTTAAAAATAATTAACTCACAAAAGAGAAAATAACATATATTTTCTGACATATTTCATGGAATAACTTTCCATTACTAAATAAAATATTTTAATGTTGTTGTTGTTTTTTTTTGCAAAAAGCAGTACACTATCTAATAATATTAAAACAAATTAAATTAATCACAATGTTGGCTAAAAGTAAAAACAAAACTTAGAATGACAAAACCAAAAAACAATAGTTAATCACTGTGTGTTTTATGTGATCGAGTATTTAAATTCCATTTCTAAGAACTACACATTATAAATTTATGCAAGTACCTGCAAAACAACAAGAGTGCAGCTAACAAGATGAGAATCTCCACAATTGATAGTGCTTTCTAAGATACTCAGTGTCTGTGCTAAGAGAGAAGTGCTAACAGTCAGTTGATGATGTGGAGCTAGGTTTAGTAGTGCTGGATTTGGTGATATATCACATGATAAATGATGACAACATGTGGAGCCCACATGTAGCATTAGCTGACAGATCACTTCTGCAGGGCTTGACATATTATCTGAAAAAAACATTTTAACTAAGTACATATTTCATTACCTCATACATTTAACAATATATTTAACAGAAAATATTTTCAATCATATGAAAATATAACTACTACGTATGATTATGCACTGAACAATTTCATTTCTGAACACAGAGGGACAAGTTCTTCCTTTTCCTTGATATAGAAGTTCTTGAATCTTTCAAAACTCATATTTGTAGACAGAAATTTGAAATTGCAATCAAAACACATTTCTCAGTGAAGCTTTTTAAACAAAGGACAAAAATACACCTTAGTCAAATCCATTTTAGAGATGGTGGAGGAATAAACAAATGCACCAGACTTACATATATTTATTTTTTAATAACATAAATAGAAATATCTGTCTAATTATCAATCTATTTGTCTGCACATCATAAAATTTTGTAAGAATGTTATAAATTCCAATAAAATAAAGCTGAATACCTTTAATACTAGATATATTACCCTATGAAAGCCTTACTTTAGATGATGAGTAACTAAACAACATACTCTCCAATTGCTACAAATGTTTCTTTAATAACCATGAAACAAACAAACAAACAGTGCTATTTTTGTTACCAAAAAATTAACTGGAGCTCAAAAATATAGCATTTTTTCACATCTCAGCAAATGTAAGTAAAAACTTTATTAATAATGTGAACAGTTTCAATAAATTTATTAAATTATATGTAATATCTAGATTAATTTAAAAATTTGTTCTTGAAAAAAAAAGAAGTAGAGCTGAGCTCCACCACAAAAGTAGGCAAATAAATGAAATCTACTCAAAGAGAATGGTCATGAAAGTTGTCACGTCAAGATAGCAACCTGTCAGTATTACCAAGAGATGGTGACACCACCACATGCTGTGCTCCAAGTTTCTGGTTCACATGATGAGTTGCAAGATGTCCTGAATTAAAGAACTGATCCACATGGTCATTGGAGCAGGTCCAGATCATGTTATTGGTAACATCATAACAGATACCTATAAAACAAAATATAGACTACATTATTGGTGGAATTTCTATTAAATTTATTCTCTAAGCTTTTGTTTTTCACTAGTGAAAGTTGAAATACAAAAATATTTAAGACTATCACTTAATATTTCTTGAACTAGAGGAAACAAGATGAAATGTTAACACTGAAATTACTAACATGTCTTTATACCATTCACTACCAGTGTAGTACATTTTTTGTATCATATTGAGTAATTTGATGTTTTTCCTGTTAAACACTCAGTGTGAAAAACCTCTCACATAAATAGCTATTAATACACAAAAGAAAAAATTTAAGTTACAAGATAAGCAGAAAATTATAAACTGAGCTGACCTGATTCATATTTGCCCTCAGCTTCTGAATGAGTAAGCATTTTTTACATATATTTGTTTGTTTGTTTTGAATTTTGCGCAAAGCTACACGAGGGCTATCTGCGCTAGCCGTCCCT